CTGTTTACCTTGATAAGTCCAATATCCCGGAGCCGCTCCAGTTAGCAATCGGTTAAGCAATCGAGTAGCAGATCTTCAAGATCGAAAACAAGATCGTCTACACGTGGCTGATTCGATAACGCCGATAAACCCACAATACACCGTCGTGAATACCCCCGGTCGCATACGTATACGCCGATGAATCTGGCGGAATAGGTATCCTGTAATACCGGGAATTTCAGACGAGAGAGATCCGCGCCAGATCTCGCTCGTAACTTGTAGCGAACGATAATGTGTATTACGGTAAATGATATACGCTACGTGCGCGTATTAAACGTACACCTCTACCGCGAAGCGGTCCATCTGATGGCATCAATTATTACAAGCTTCTCGTATATCCGCCTGTCATATATAGAGCGGAACACTAAAAGTCACCACTATCTGGCACTTATCGATGCAAAGTAGCTGCCATTGATAAGGCACTTGGATTAGGTTACCCGTACCAATGTCACGCATGCATTCCTTCTATTTCCTAGATTCTGTGGCACGTTTTATTATGTGTTTTCTTCGGGCATATTTATAACTTTTTAACAGTACATTTAACACAAGAGTTTATTGCATTTCACTAATCTAATTATATACGACGTCATACTTTTATATGTAGGTAATCTTTAAATGTAGGTAATATGTAGGTAATCGTTCGCGAAAAACATTTGAGGTATCATCCAGCTTTTTGACGTTTAACCGGCAAACTGATGGCATACACAAGAATCTGATTTCTCGCATCGACTTTCCGTCAGCGGCTATGTGTGTCGGTTTCGCGTTGGTTTACTGTTACGATGCATCACGACGCTGTTTCGGACAACTTCTCGTATGTGGAGTAGTACATAGAACGCGTCCCAGTTCCCTTTTAACCGCAGCTTCTCTGACCAATCGAGATTGATTTTTCTTTAGCGAAAAGTGACACTCTGTGACATTTCGTACATATGTATGTATATATATATATATATATATATATATATATGTACATACAAGTTTCATGTTTATCTGTACTTTAAATAAGAACGTCGTAAAGGCGTCACCGCTGTGTGATGAACTTATTCGCCGATAATCAAGGATGCAGACTGAAATCGAAGTTTTGCTACGAGGATAGGAAAAGCCAAGTTTCCTCTCAAGTGCATGAAATTCGGAGGTTTCCTCTCGTTGAATAGGGTCTAATTGGCTCTAATAGAGAACGAAATTTCGCCCGCGGGTTGAACTTTGCCATTTTTAGTCGTCCTTCAATACTCCGTTACGGAGAGCAGCGGGCGAAAGTTCCTCTGTCCGTCATCAATTATTTCTAAACTCGGGAGGCGATTCGCGGGACGATTATAGCGGCTCTCATGCGGCACCGTTCAAAGTGGTTCTCGGCCGTACGCTCGGATCGATCGGATTCGAGAATGAGGACGGGAGGGGGGAGGGGGAAGGGATAACCTCTTCGTAAAAGCGCGGAGAGATACACTTTCTGCCCGGTCTCGATACAGACTATACGGATGCACGTGCAAGATGCAGATGTGTGCGATGTGTATACGTGTGCTAAGACTGTGTGGGCGATTGTAAAACGTACACCCTGAACCTCCGCATTTACGTCCTGCTAAGTGGACGACATAATCCCACGCCGGATTACCGCCGGCTTGCCTGATAGCGTCGGTTCCTTTTACCACGGGGTTTTCGGACTTTGTGCGCCGGGTATCAGCGCACAAAGTCGCTTAATTTTCGACTGATCTTGACACGATCGCGTTGCGGATTCTCGTCATGCATATATACCGCTTCCTTCTATTAATGCTGCATGCGCATTCACGGTTAAAAGCGGATATTTCTTAATCTCCTTGCCGGACTCTTCCGCAATCTCCACGTCTCTCTCCCTCACTTTTTCGACCTTGTTCTAACGAACCGTTATCCCCAGTATCCCCGTCGGCGTATACAGGACGTCTCGCGAGCCATGTAATTCTTCACGACTATGAACTCCAAGCGAAATTTAGGTAAGAGATCATCCGTTGCACCGTTTTAATCTCGTATGTTAAAGATCGCGATGAAAAAAAAAATTGAGTGCTCGCGCATTTAAAGCCAATCGAAAAACGAATCTATATATACCAATATAATTTATATTTACGCGTTTTGAAAGTTTGTAGACAAAATAACTTTATTTGGAATTATTCATCAGTTCCGCTAGCTATGCCTCACGACAATGACTATTTTCTTTAACGGTCTGCGGTTTGGAATAAGCACGCGCGAATTCTGGGGCACATGTGCATGCACGTGCGTCGTCGCCGGATTTCAAGCCGGGAAGCTGACGACTACGCCCCGAAGACACCATCGCGGCAGACAGGCAGTCAGACAGCGCCGTAATAAATTGCTACCGTATTAATGACGTTCCGGCACACCGACGACCGAGGTCGTGACATCCTTTCGGTCTCTCCGGTTCGTGTGCACGCCATACCTTCTTGTCTTGCGGTCGTGCTTTCCGAGGATGAACCGCGAAGTGATAATCAAACAGCCGATATTGATTTCGGTAATTTTACTCCGTTATTGCGTTATTATTTCTCGCGGATAAATGCGCTCGTGCCATCTCCGCGACGCGACGGTATACTCGTTTAGCTTGGAATATAAAATATAAAATGAAAATTTCCGCTTGCAACTCGTTCCAGTTTAGACTGGAAACCGAACGGTAATATTATTGCTTTGTATTTTTTTTTTAATGGCTTTGCGCGACAATTATCATTGTATAAAATACACGCGTCTCATCTCCTTGTTCCGTCGATGTATTGATCATGCCATTCTAATGACAAATTGCTATCGATTCTCTTCTGGAATGACTCAATTAAACATCGTTGCTGAACAGCCGGTCGTAATTATTATGTAACGTTAGACACGTGCGAGTATGACCACGTACCCTGTAGGATAGATCGATATGTATTTCCAAGGTGCGGTTGCGTGGGAAGTAAGCGTGGTATGGAGCGACGAGCAGATTCTCACTAAAGACAATCTAGTAGGTTACAAGTTCTCGTGCCGATAGAACGTTTAGAAAAATGATTTGATTCCTGGTTAGGGGCCCTCGGGTGCGCGTGATTTGTGTTCGAGCCCGACGCCATTTGTCATTGCCGGCACCGTTACGTCCCACGGGCCCCTCGGGACTCGAGGTCGAAAAGCCGAAGTTAAATTTAACAAGCTTAACCGATAACTCCCGCACGGATCGGCACGGATCGCCGTATGTATATACATATACATACACAAACACACACACACACACACACACACTCTCTCTCTCTCTCTCTATGGGATACCATCTATGCGACTATCGTCTATGCTATATCGAAATCGCGCGCAGCGCATTCGCGTGCATCAACCAATCGCGGATATACCACGGAGATTTGGAAACAGTGATCTCGCGTGTCAGTCGGCATATTAAATCGCGGCAAGCGTGTGTTTCATTCCCGAGCGACTCGTCGCCTCGTCTCGCGTCGCGTCGCGTCGCAACGCCTCGCGTTTACGTTGCCCCTCGGGCATCCGGTATCCACGTATTCATGTTCGACATTCGAGAGAACGGGAGCGATGCGACGCAACGCGACGCGACGCCCGGCCCGCGAGAGGGCAATTCTCTAATCCCGCACGTACGGCCCGCGTGCGAACGCGGCGATATTACGGTTATTTTTCAAGCCGACTGCCAGCACTGACCCGCTATTACCGTGGATGCGATTCATTACCGCCCGGCGCACCGGCCGACTAAAGTGTATTGTGTTACGTTATGATTGATCGCGCAGCGCGATCCGCTGAACAAGCATGTCCCATCTGTCACCAATAAATATCCAATTTCAAGTTAGAATGATATATAAGACATTTTAACGTCGCGTTTTTAGCGACGTCGCCGCCGCGCCGCGTAATAGGATCATTTATTAAGAAAATTGGCTGTTGGGATATTCATCGTCATCTTCGTCGTTTTCGTGGTCTTGCTCGTCGTCACGTTCCCGTCGGCACGAAGGACGATGCGTTACCCCGCGCGACATTCCAAGACGGTGGGGAAGAACAGGCGCAAACCCCGGGAACCCCGAACGTTTCTCTCTCTCTCTCTCTCTCTCTCTCTCTCTCTCTCTCTCTCTCCCCTCAAATCTAT